GACCGTTCAAGTCAATACTATTACCCAGTTTTGGCTTGTCGTGAAGGTCTGGGACACTATTGTTTTTATCGAAGAATTTTTGCATTATTTTTAATATTATATTTTAAAATTTTTAGTGTCATTAAATTACATAATTATTTAATTGCATTATAATTTGACGATTGTGTTAATATCATATTATAGGTAGGTGCGCAATGACTATTACAAAGTTTTGTATTTATTTGTTATTGTAAATAGTGTTATAAAACAAAAAACGCGTATCCACGAGTATTCTATCCTTTGTACTCTTATTTATTTGAATTTGTTATTGTTCATTATTATTACTAGATGTTAAATTATTTAACATCTATTATAATTCATTATTATTACTAGATGTTAAATCATTTAATTATTTGTAATAAATATTGTAATTAAAAAAGAGTTGAAAGGTGTATCGTCTTCATGTAGATTTATTTATTTTGATACTGCTAAAACTTGGAGCGGAAAGTTTTAATAGCAATAAAGTAGGTGAACTTTTCGTCCAACCTGTAGAGCCTCACTAATAAACTTGATATGTTTTCACATACCCATTAGGTAATAAAGAAATTTTTCTGTAATTTTTTGGCGAGTTGCAATAAAAATTAATACTGAATATAGTAGTTTTTATCCGAGGTACCGAAAGCTTCAGTTTCAGTATTTTTGGGATATCTCCGCATAACTCTCTTCAAATTTAAGGATATGGTAACTTCACATTATCGTGATCTGATCGAAATCGAATCGTGAAATTCATCTGAAAAAAGTGAGCTGTTTCAGTGTTTCACCTGTATTAATTGCACTTTCGCACACTTGGATTAAACGATGCGGATTACTCTATGCGGAGCTCATTCTTGTTTCTGTGTTTTGCATCTTTTGCGTTCTACTTATCAAGCTTTCTCCGTATCTAATTCTCTTTGTATGAACACTGATCCCACCATCCTTCTCTTGAGAAAGGTCACGATCATCATCTAGTCAATTACTCTATCGTAAAGTCATGCTTTTGGACGGTGGAATTAATAACTAACATGTAAATAATTAATCATCCAAACAATCGTTGCATTCTGAAAGTAGTAAAATTTATATGATAATTTACTTCAGTTTTTCCTACTCTTTCCGTTATAAGTGAACGGACATGAAAATAAATTGATGGTTTAATTTCCTCTATTCTGTTTAAATATTTATCCCGTTATCGAGAAAAAAAATCTTGCAATTTCTATTAGTATGCCAAACCTCCGATATTTATTACAATCGGTGCTTTTTGTTCACTAATCTTAATTTTTGACAAAAAACATTTTAATCGATGTATCTATTCAAATTTAACCCTTTCGCTACCATTGTCGTCTATAGGCGGCATCCGTTTGACGACTTCTGATTATTATGTGTCGTCCATTGACGACATCCAATACGCGCCCTCTTTTGCTTCGTTGATTTATGACTGTTTTAAATTATCAAAAAATTTTATTTGTTGTTGTGGTTTTCAGTACAGGTGTAATTTCTAAATACATTTTACTCCAGTTATTTAAGCTTAAATTCGGTAACAATCTTGGAATTCGAGATACCCGGCTACAAGTCTCTAAATACTTGTATATTGACACCCTAAAGTTGTCTCAAAACCTACATATGGTAAGGTGTCAAAACCATGTGTAGGTTTTGAGACAACTTTATGGTATCAATAAACAAATATTTACATACTTACAACTGAGTATTTCGAATTCCAAGGTAATCTTACTATAATGACTGGACGATTTTTATTGATTTGAAAACGGAAAATATATTTGGTATTTAAGTCATTTTTTAAAGATTTTGAAATATCTTTAAAAATTGATGAAACAATTCATTTATATCTGATGTATTTTAACCCTTTTGTTACGAGCGTCGCCTATAGGCAACATCCGCTTGACGCCTTTGTGTACGAGTGTCGTCTATAGACGACATCCAATGGATCATATTGTGCTTTAATTTTTTTTTGCTATAAATTTAATGATTGAAAATTTTATTTGTTAATGTGGATATTACAGTTCTTTACAAGTGTACTTTTTAATTTCTAAATACATTTCTATTGGTAATAACTCCAAAATCTTAAAATATTTTATGCAGGAGTGACATATCTGCGAAAAACTCTTCTGCACCAGAAAAACTAATAAAAGTGTGTACCAGTGAAACTTGATACATGTCAATTTTTTTTTAATAAAAACTTTTTATATATAGAGCAATTTACATTAATTTTCAATGTACTATAATATATGTAAATCAATAAAACACAAAATATCGGTCGGTGCGCTTTATGGGCAAAAATTGCATCTTTATATCTGAAAACCTGCTTCTGTAAAAAAAAACTGCATCCAATTCAATAACTGCAATATGATATCACTGACAAATATGTTTATTTCTTGTGCAAATTCAATAAAACTTGACTAAATTTTGAGTAATTAACTTCCCGTAGGGCAAGTTATAGTAATCGCAAAAAAATCGAAAATGAAAATTTTTGCATTTCTCGACGTTTCAAAGGTTTCTGAATATTTTGGCATACCTTAGAAAAAATGGATGTATGTGTGTGTGTGTGCGTGCGTGTGTGTGTGTATGTATGTGCGGATACAAATTTTCGTCGACGATTTCGGGAACACCGATCAACCGATTTGAATAATTAAAAAAACATTCAATTCGTATTGATAAGGAGACGTGCTGATTAGTTTTTGGCGAAGGCAGGTTTAGCCGTTCCGAAGATACGGGGCAAAAAGTGCCTAAAACGGTAACTCAATTTTTAAGAGAACGGAGCGTCCGATTTTAATAATTCAAAAAACATTTTACTTGTATTGACAAGATGAACAATTGATAAAATTTTCATGAAGGCAGGTCTAGCGGTTTCGGAGATCTAGTAAAAAAAGTAAAAAAAAATGCCATTTGGCGGTCAAAAATAATCATTAGACATATGAACATCAAATTATCAGATATTTTATAGAGATTTTAACAATAAGTATAATTTTGGTTTACATTCCTATGGGTTCCGTACCAATGTTTATGCGTTAGACGGCGACGCGGCGCTTACGCGCTTTGATATTTCGTCTTTATGCAGTTAAAGCAGTACGATTGCTTTAAAAAAAGTTTATATCTTCCAAAATATGTCAAAATAAAGAAAACATTTTTTTTCAAAAAAAAAAAATAAAAAATTTTTTTTTTCAAAAAAAAGTAATTTTTTGTCCAATTTAGTTTCTCAAAAATCTTATTTTTACGAAGTAAAATTTTTTCGAAAATGTTAATCGTTTTTAAAAAAAATAATAATTTTTGGTACGGGAAGTTCCAGCAATTTGCCTTAAGGCACGATGCCCTAATTGCCTTAAGACAGAATTCCACTTACAGCTAGTTCTTACTCTTTCCGTTATAAGTAAACGGACATGAAAATAAATTGATGGTTTAATTTCCTCTATTCTGTTTAAATATTTATCCCGTTATCGAAAAAAGATATTGTAATTTTTATTACCTATGCTGAACCTCAGATATTTATTACAAACGCTGCTTTTTTATCACAAATCTTAATTTTTCAAATTTCTCTCTTTTGCTACCATTGTCGTCTATAGGCGACATCCGTTTGACGACTTCTGAGTACGTGTGTCATCTATTGACGACATTATGTATGTCCACTTTTGCTCCAAAATTTATTACTCGATTTGAACTATCGAGAATTCTTATTTATTGTGGTTTTAAGTTTAGGTGTAATTTTTAAATACATTTAAGCTGAAATTAGGTAACAACTTGGAATTGATTGACACCCTAAAGTTGTCTCAAAACCTACATATGGTAGGGTCAATACTATGTGTAGTTTTGAGGTAACTTTAGGGTATCAATATACAAATATTTACAGACTTGCAACTGAGTATTTCGAATTCCAAGGTAAATTTACTATAATGACTGGACGATTTTTATTGATTTGATTTAAACACCAAATATATTTTCCGTTTTCAATTTTTTATATTTTGAAATACCTTTAAACATTGGTGTAACATTACTTTTACATCTCATGTATTTTAACCCTTTTGCTACGAGCATCGTCTATGGGCAACATCCGCTTGACGCCTTTGTGTACGAGTGTCGTCTATAGACGACATTCAGTGGGTCATATTGTGATTTAAGATTTTTTGCTATAAATTTAATCTTTGAAAATTTTATTTGTTTTGGTTGTTAGTTCTTTACAAGTGTACTTTTTAATTTTTAAATACATTTCTGTTGGTAATAACTCCAAAATCTTAAAATATTTTATGCAGGAGTGACACTTCTGCAAAAAACTCTGCTGTAGCAGAAAGGCTAAAATAAAAACGTTTGATATAAAAATCAAGTCACAATAATTTTCAATGTACTATAATATATGTAAATCAATAAAACACAAAATATCGGTCGGTGCGCTTTATGGGCAAAAATTGCATCTTTATATCTGAAAACCTGCTTCTGTAAAAAAAAAACTGCATCCAATTCAATAACTGCAATATGATATCACTGACAAATATGTTTATTTCTTGTGCAAATACAATAAAACTTGACTAAATTTTGAGTAATTATATTTATTTCTAATAAAACGTTCAAAAGAAATCATTAATCAAAGTAACTTCACTTACTTCATACAAATTACAAACGTTTTCAATCTGTTTTCTGATTGCAAATATTTTGCATATGATCAAGAATTTTAAATATGTTCTGAACTAAATAAAAAATTAACTTGTCGGAGAGTTTCATTGTTTCTAGTTTTCACACACAACTGTCGGAAGTTTATGAGAAAATTAGTTTGCATGCAATAATTTTCAACAAATTTTAGCATGGTTAGTTAGATATTTATTAATTAAGCTTGCACAATTTTCAAATGCTCTAGGCCGAATAAAATACTTGAAATTTTCAAGTGAGAATGATAAAATTTTAATTATAACTATTCTAATAATTAACATTTTTTAAAAAATTACTTCATATTAGGTTTTCTAATGTTATTTTTTTTATTTCAGAATTCTACTGTGATCAATTGAATATCAACCATGGGTGTGACCGCAGGAAGTGAGTACACTTATAATATAATTATTATAATTTTACATACATCATTCGAACATCTTTAAACTGTCTTAGAATAAATTTGCTATGTAAATATTCAAAATATTAGATTAGTCCAGTCAATTTTTGTCTTATAGAGATTTTTATAAGAATATTCAATAGAAACTTGAAAGTTTCTACTGTATTGTCTCTACAAGAAAATATGCTCATTGTCAGCTATTAGGTCTTTAATATCACCCGGGCGTTAATGTATATATTTCTTATTTTTATTCATGATCAGAAGGGGTGTGTACTCGTACATCATAAACTATTTTACAAATAAATGGAAAACACCCAGAACAAATTATTTCTAATAAATTATCATTTACGATATCAATTCTTAATCAACTCTGATTTGAGAGCCTTGAACGTTCATTTTCAAATTAATCAATTGTAGTCGGAATTAACATTTTAGGAGGTAATTTACAATTTGGTGCTTTATTTTACTCAAATGTCTTATTTATTAACAACACTGTTTCGTTATAAAATAATGCTTTTTTAAAAATTCAACTAACAAGTTATTTCTCAAAATAAAAAAGCCATGTAACTTATTTAATGGTATTATATTAAATTTGCATTATATTTAATTTCATTGCACAGTCATTATATATTTTGATTTCATATTATATACATATATGAAAAGGCAAATTTAAGTACGAGATAGGTTTAATAGTTCTCAGTGTGGGTGCTATAATAATTTAGTAACTATTCAACAAATCTATAATATTTCTATATTTCTACTTTGAAATTTAACATCTTTAATAAACAACATATTGTTACATGGATACATTTCTGAAGTGACTCAAAATACATGTGATTATGCAAATTCTTATAAATTTGTAATATTTATATCAATTTTGGATAACATTTGATACATTATATCAGCAAATCTAATGGATTTGATCAATCACTTGATTTGATAATTGTTGTTAATTGATGCGAGGCAACATTTCAAAAATACTTTAATGTTAGTAATATTTGTAAGTTCTTTACAAACACTTACACAAATTTAATCATTGTGTATTATTTAAGTTCATTTTTTAAGCATTAACTAAACTACTCAAGAATGATTTTTTGATTGTGTCGAAGAATCGACGAAGCTATATGGATCAATGACGTAATTAGTAATCATTATTGTACATCTCATTTTACTGTATATTACTAAATTTTCAAATTTAGTATAAACCCAATTTCTTCGAGCGATATAAATTAGTGATGATTATTTATTATAACGCCCATTAGTTTTATTCCATCCATGAGATCATTTTGTTTGATATGAAAATTGATTTACTACAAAATATGAATGTTTTTTTTCTATGATACAATTTTATCTGATCTGTTCAAAGTCTAATAAAAAATAAGTGGCGTGAACCCAATTAAATGATCTGTCATCGTGATATCCGGATTGTACTTTGTCATGAGTGCACTATTATTTTATCTAGTTGATATAGAAAAAAAATCGTCTGGTCGTTTTTTATGAAATTTTGAATACTTAATGTGCGCTAGATTATTTTCGTATCTTTGTAGTAGGGACATACGCAGGGGTCTGAATTAACAATTCATAGGGCCATACGTAAGGGTCATATGTCGCCGAAACATTCCAAATTATAATCTTATAATCTGGAAAATTATGCTATCGTAAAGGTTATTATGCCTAAGATACATATGATAATTTGATCATGTTTAGATCATTTTCGGGATTCATTATTATAAGTGTTTATGTCACAATTATTTCCTGATCGTTTCCAAAATTCATGTAAAAAATAGGTCGATAGTGCCGATATTTCAATTGTTTATATAATAGTTATGATTTGAACATCTGTTGATGAAAATTCTTTTCTCTTAGAAGCATTAACGGAAGAAAAATGTTCTAAATATAGGTTTAATTGTGGAATTCTCGCCATTTGAACTTGGCCGCGATATAATTATTTGTTAATAGAAACTAAAGTTTTGTCACGGAAATCCTTCATAACTATTTTTTTGCGTTATATATAATTAATATAAAATTTATGAAAACACTGCATGTAGTCACACGAGCTATTAAAATAAATTCATTAGCATTTAGTTAGTTTAGTAACCAATGACTCGCAAATGGCAAATACTCAATTTTTTTTTGAATTTTATTCGAAGCAAATACTCCAGTCAACGGAGCGTTTCTGGTCTGAATCTTTTTACTCTGATTTGCATGAAATTTTGGAATTAGGTTTATCTTACCCTCACGTTCAAAAGGGAGAACAAGTCGGACTTCGCCACCACCCCCCTGGGGGGATAAGACCCCTTTTTAGTTCTGTAATTTTATTTTTTTCAAAATAACGTCGGATATAGATAGAAGAACTAATAAGAAAAAATGTCTCTTAAAGTTTTTCAAAAAAACTAATACATTCAAAGTTACAGGCTATTTCTTGTTTTTTTTTGCAAATACCTCTTAAAATATAAAAATCGTGATAAATCGGTGTTTTATAAAATGTTCTAGGAATAATATTAAGCTATATTTGAGAGAGGAATCTCGTTTTTTTTATTTCGATGGTGGCGGACTCCAAATTGTTTTCACTTTTGGGCTTCAAGGAAACATAAACCTAATTCCAAAATTTTATGCAAATTGGAGCACAGTAAAAAAAAACTCAAAAGTTATATTCTTTTTCCCTCTCCGTTTACTGCACTAAAATACTACTTAATGTTTTAATATCAGTTGTCATTTCAATCATAATTTAATGAAAATACTATAACTTTCCACATTTTAACCACCAACTTTGTCAGTACGTATGTTATTTCGATTTTATATTGCGTAACATATTGTACAATTTTATTCATAATTAAATATTGAAATTAATCTAGCTTTTATATTTAATTAATTCATGCTCTATATTTTCACATGCACACATTTTGCATTCAAATTCGCTAAAAATAATTTTAATTCAAGCATAATAGAAATTAATTGAAAATAAAAATTCTTCAAAAATTAAGGACAATCCAGGATGGTACAATCTAATACCGGGCAAATATTGATCCTAAAAAAAAATCCGAGACACCAGGTGGAAATCCTGGAATGTCCTGGCGCCTCAGGAGCGTATGGTCACCTTATTATACTTTCAATGATTTTTTTGTTATTTAAATTAACATCTTCAAAACATTTCAACAGTGAACAAAAATTGCGAGCATAAATATAGATAGAGCCAAATGGGTTAATGCCCATTATATCAGAAAAATTTTCACATGGGCCATGGTATCCTTGTAAGATAATTTACTTACAAATGTATTGAGAAAACATAATGTATACTCGTAGCATTTTTTTGCAAAAATTTCTGGAAAATCTTTGTCACATATGTATAACTAACACGGCTCTAGATTAAAGCTTTTTTCTTGACAATCCAAAAAATGTTGAAGTCGGAAATATGTCTGACAATTAACGTGTTAATCGGTTTTCCAATAATGCTCAAGTATCTTTAAAACTTACGTCTATTACATATGTCTAATACATATAGTTGAAGCACTAAATTTTCAAGTCATCCTGAAAATGCATAATTATTAGTGTATAAAATTTCACATCTCAATAGAGTTGTTTAAAGATTATATGATTTACTTTATTCAAACATATTTGATCTATTACTCTCGAAATTCTAATCCAAAAATTATAGTCAATTACTTACATTGGCATATTTTTCGAGGTGAAAGTGCGGTTTCTGTGCGCTATCAAAGATTATCCCTTCGATCTAAAACCGAAAAAATCTCGAATTCTGTTTATCATTGTTCGTGAGATAAATAACCTTATAAAAAATCTATTTAAAAACTCTAGGTTCATAGTACAAATAACGTGAAATCTCGCTGGAATCTCTTTATCTAACGTCGGGAATTAAATCAGCTCGCGTTCACTTGACCGTCTTATCGTGGCGTTATTGATAACTGAAATGTTTGAAAATATTCTACGATATTTTGAAAACTTTTCTTAGTTGCTTGATTGAAACCGACGCGAGTTGACGAAGTTGCTTATTAAAATATTTACAAGTTACGTGCTTTGTTACAAAATCAGTTCTACCATTCATTAGAATAATTGAATCGCTGGTGGTCAGTACAGAGTAAGTTGATTTTTTTTAACCTAATAATTTTGTTCAATTAATAAAATTAGTTAAAATTCACACATTTTGATATTCACATATCTTGCATCTACATATTTAGTGTTAAAAAAATAAGTTATAATTTCATTTCAAATTATTTCCATTCAATTCGGTCGTTTCCGCGCAGTGAACTTTTTAGTGTTTTTTCCAAAAATTCTATTTTTTGTGATAAAAATTGCACAATATATATTACAATAATCTTGTGGATAGAAAAATAATCACTTTCATAAAATTATTTTTTTATTTTATTTTTACCAATGCTGATACTGATGCGACACTTGTCTTCTAGACCGCGTTAAAATTCGTTAATTGAATATATCCAACATAATTACTAAATTTATAATAATTATATATAAAATATCATTTCTAATTTTATCATAGAAGCAAAAGTGTAAATTATAAAATTTCAGTGTAACTAAAACTAAATTAGTGCTTTTTCTTATTAACATAATCACTGCAGTATATAGCATCTTTAAGTACACGTAATAAAATCTGAATAAATAATTCATTAGATTAGTCAAATTTACAAATTCTGGTATATAAATACTTACACATTGTATATGTAATAGTCTACCAATATAAAGTTCCATTATTTTAACACTAAGATAAAACTAAAGCATTCAAAAAATATAAGCTTTCTGATTTATACGTTTCAATCTACGTCAAGAGCATAATTCAGTGGCTATATTTTATTTATTATTAATAAAAAAAAACTAACAATAGTTTGTATAACTACAATAGTACTTATAAGTGTTTTGCACCAATCAATGCACATAAGCATCACACTTTTTCATTAGTGATTACAATCAAGGTATTAATAATCAAAACTATTTTTTGAAGTGTTACTATGATATA